GTATGCCAGTTTCGTGTGTGCTTCGTGCTTTAGGTGCACGCTGTGAGATTCGAGCTGCTTGCTGTTCTTAACGTGGCTATGCTTGCCGCGGCTTGCCGATTATCCGGAACGTGGCGCTCGCTTCTACTGGTGTTGTAATAGTTTGTCAAGAGCGAGAAATAGAATATCACGTATTTGAGAAGCTTTCTAGGGCACCACTGGCTTATTCTGAAGGTAGTTCCACTCTCGTAAGCAGAAACCATACGACACAAGGTAAGCTTTATTTCGTTAAAACATAATTTTTTTTCAGTGTTGCTAATTTCTGCGCTACGTGGCCATTTTCTACGCATTTTCTTGGATGCTCTCATTTTTCAGCCTGCAGACGTTGTTCAAGACAATATTGGCTGCTGTGAAAACCAAGCACAAAATAGTTTGTGCAGTGTGGCCATTTTCACATATATAAATGTGGGTCTGTGGTTCCATCACAGAAAATTCCAGCGAAGCAACGATAGCACGTTGGCAACTGCATGAGAGAAACTGTTTGTCCTACTCTCCCAATGACAGCTTCTACAGAACTAGCTTCATTACCAGAACCATGTCACAGCGCTACTCCAAAACCACACTTAGAACGGCGCTCCATTCAAAACAATAGAAAGCGAGAGATCTGGGAGAATAGTCAATGAACATTTAACTTAAAGAGAAAGATTGTTTGCGATGACAAGAAACCTTACGCACTCAATACTGATAGATACTGTCCAAAAATTGTTATTGTGGATTCCTTACAGATTCGTCTTGAAGTCCGTATTGAAGACACGTAGCACGCGGTTAGAGCAGGACGTGAAGAGGCCTATTAGAGCGTGTTCGATGAGCGCAAGCGTAGGAGCAACACTCTCTAAATATTCTTTAGGCCTCTTCACTTCCTCCTCTACCCACGTGCTACGTTCACGGAGTGTGTCCAGTGGAAGAACTGGAAAAGCGTCTGGCTACACTGGCTCCTCGTCTGTTCTTGGCGCGCTTGCCAGGGCAAAATCAGCGTGTGTGCGTCAAGCTGCTGTGCAAATTGCCTTGTTCGTGGTGTGTGTTCGCGCTCGATTCAGGGTTCTTAGTGTCCGTGTGAGCGTTCTTTTTTTTTTTTTTGTCGTACACGTCTTAATGCCCGTATAAAGTTTGGTACGAATGGTAAAGATCCCAACGAGTGCAAGTTCGGGCAACATAAGCCTGTTTTGTGTTCCAGGGTGCCGTGAAAACTATGACAATGGGCCAAATATGCTTGTGTATTCATTCCCGAGAGATGACGCGCAGAAAGAAGCGTGGCTTCAAGCCATCACACGGAAAAATTTTGCCCCAACAGTGCATTCGAAGGTAAAGAATTCTAACATTGCTGTATTGGGTGTGTGAATCATTGTTCTTAGCAGCAATAGCTGTAATTATCGAAAGAGAATACTCTTTTCATCCATATTGAGAATACTTCAACACAACGATAAAAAAGCATGCATTTCCCATGAATATTCACTGATAAGTGGAGTGCACTTGTAAATGGACAGTGCTAAGATGGATATCCTTCTCACAGTATAGTTAAAATACCTTCTATTTTGCTCTTACTGCCATGAATTACGTCTAGCCCCGCCACGTGGTCAAGTGGCTAAGGTACTCGGCTGCCGACCCGCAGGTCGCGGGATTGAATCCCGGCTGTGGCGGCTGCATTTCCGTTGGAGGCGGAAATGTTGTAGGCCCGTGTGCTCAGATTCGGGTGCATGTTAAAGAACCTCAGGCGGTCGAAATTTCCGGAGCCCTCCACTACGGCGTCTCGCATAATCATCTGGCGGTTTTGGGATGTACCCCGCATATCTATGAATAAATTGCGCCTGGCTTGGTCTCGGTGTTTTGTTTCCTGCATGTTGATGTGTGAAACCATACTCTGATGAAGCGTGTTATGTAGCAACTTATTGCGACAATAAAAATGGCATTCTCATGATGCTATGCAAGAGATAAAACAAAAGCAGTAGAAAAATGTGATTTCCCTTCATTGCTGATGTCGAAACCCACCTTCGAAGTTAATTTTAGTTTTGATTTCTTTGCTTGGTAATTTTTTATGAAATGAAGAATTATAGGTGCGGTACTTGCCTGGTCCGTGGATAACAATATTTATAGCGTTGCGTAAAAAAAATAAAAGCTTTGTTTGCTATGTGAGGCGCATCACTGCGTGGTTTTTTTCTTTAATGAAAGACCTCATGCTTATATCGTAGGTAAATAATTATGAAGGAACATCTATCCGCAGGCTATGTCTACGCGTATTATGTTTCATGTGTAGCATATTTATAACAGCCGTTTTTTTTTCTTGCGCTCGCAGGTTCGTGAGCTTCACTTCCAAGCAGAGAGTTTCATAACGACGCTGTTGCATCGAGATGAACGAACAGGAAGGATAATAGAAGTATAAGAAGAGAAACGCAAGCTGAACCACAATGTTGTACCTTCTATCTTTCCGAATTGTCCAAAATACGTGTCCTCAAATCTAACACGTCGTGAATCACCAGCGATAAAGTTCGCAAGAAGGGAAAGCGCTGCTTTAAAGAAGCTATAAACAATTCGCTTGAGTCTACACAACTTGACCATCTTCATACGGACTTCAAGAGCGTCTTCATATACGGACTTCAAGACGAAGCTGTTAGGAATCCGCAATAATAATTTCTGGACAGTACCTATCAGTAACGAGTGCGTAAGGTTTCTTGTCATCAAAAACAATCCTTCTCCTCAAGTTAAATGCTCATTGACTGTTCTCCCAGATTTCTCATCTTCTGTTGTTTTCAATGGAGTGCAACTCCGATCGCTTCCTTGTGGTTGCGCTGTTCCAAGTGATGTGCTTGGGGTAGCGCTGTGACATGGTTCTGGTAATGAAGTTAGTTGTGCAGAGCTGTCATTGGGAGAATATGACAAAGCCTTTCTCTCATGCAGTGACTGACGCGGTATTGTCGCTTCACTGGACTTTCCTTTGCTGAATTACAGACTGACATTTATACATCTGAAAATGGCTACACCACACAAATTATCTTGCGCTTGGTTGTGCGCATAGCAACCAATGTTGTCCTGAACAAGATCTGCAGGCTTAAAAATGAGAGCATCCAAGGCAATGCGTAGAATAAGGCCACGCAGCACGAAAATGAGCAACACTGAAGGAAAAGTGACGTTTGAACGGAATAAAGCTTAATTTGTGTCGTATAGTTTCATCTTACGAGAGCGAAACTACTTTCAGAATGCGCCACTGGAGCCCGAGAAAGCTTCTCAATTACGTGCCGTAGTATTTCGCACCCATCATGGAATATTACAACACCAGTAGAAGCAAGCGCGACGCTCCGGAGTATTGGAACACAGCGTCCGCGTGGACCCACAGGCTGACGTCACGCAGTCATCGGAAAGACCTTAGGAATCTAGGAGGCTTTGGCTCATAGGACTCGTAATTCGGAAGAGGACGAAGGTCACTCCGCCCACTGTCAGGGCCGTGTTTACGAAGGAGCGCGCGGCTGACTCGCGACGCAGGAAAAAATTGTGACAGTTATTCCGCGCTCGTACTGTGTATGTTAATTTCGTGCTTGCTTTCTGCTTGAGGTGTGCGCTGCAAGTTTCAATCGACTTGCCATTCCTAACGTGATTTTGAAATTTATTGTTGTTTCTGAAACAATGCACAATAAACGCTCAACTACGTCTGTAAATACACGTTTCACTTTGTTATACCGATTCCTATATATGCCCGGGGATCAGCCACGTTTTTTTTTTTTTTTGTCGGAAAGCGGAGGAGACAAGAAGTGGTCGCGTTAGCCTATTACGAAGCGTCCAAGTCTTGGTGAAACCTCTTCACTCTTATTATGTGAGCCGGTAAAGGAAAAAGAAAAGGATTCAGAAATATTAACTTGTATATAGGTGTGCGCAGAGATAAAGGGGACTGCATCCACATTATCTTGTGCATCGAAGATGACTCTCAATGTTCAACTTTAATGCCATGAAAAATTCTCCAATTGGTCTCTTTTCTTCAAACATTCGAATTATGACAGTTGGCACAATGTATGCGGGATATACCAACAATATCTTTTACTACAGTTTGTAGCACAGCTACGTCGTATCGCCTGGTTATCAATTATTGCGGGCGTCACCGAAGACATTTATGCTCTTTTGTCCTGTATAAGCAGTAACATGTGTATCTCTCTGTTGGTTCAACTATATTTTACGAAAATATCAAAACTTGTAAAATTTGTACATTTCTATTACAGCGCGTGCTGTGCACTTGTACCTGCCATCGGATCACTATAAGCTGTATACATGTAATCATTATATGGCATGGTGCTCGACACCTTTCATTATTCAAAATCAAATACATCGTTCTTAAAGGTGGAATCACACGAGGGAACGGAGGAGGAATTTTCGCAGTGGTCTGCGCATCACGTGACGTGCGCGTCATCAAAGCGTGCCGCTCTCGCTTCTTCCGCTCTCTTCCGCTCTCTTCCGCTCGCGGCACGGATGGAAACGTCTCACCGCTATTTCGGTCCCTCCGTTTGACGGTCGTCTGCTCTCGATCGAGAGGATTTAGCGTACCATCTGTCAACATTGGTTGGATTGGCATGGTTAGGAAGCAGGCTGCCGGCTTAAAATCCACATGTTTTAGTTTTGCGGCAACGACCGAATGTGTTTCATGTGACAGTAGAAGAGTCGAGTGGTTTTTGGTGGTGGATAGGTGGTTTTCATTCACAGCGCGTGGCCTGCATGACCACATGTTCGCGCTGCATAAGCATAGGAGTCGAGAGTATGCTCGAGGATTCCGCGAGCATAGGACGTCTTCGCTGCTGCACCAGATGAAACAAATCACGTGACTATTCAGTCCACGGAGCAGTGGGATTTAGCTCTGGCGTGTGAATCTAGCCTAATAAGGGCAGATGCCAGAAATCATATGCCAACCACCACATTACGTAAAATAAAAAGTGTTTCTTTCCAAATGCTCTTATAGGATGAGCCGTTAAGGTGCATGAACTCACATGACTGGTGGCTTCAAAGGGCAAGCTTTGATGAGAATCGGTGAATCTGCAACAAACAAGAGATCAAGCAATCAAGCGCTGCTCAAAACTGGCATGTGAGCATTTCTTATGCAAGCTTACGCCCTCTCAATTTCAAGAGATTTTCTCGACGCCCTCTCTTCTCATTATTCTTCCTTTAGCCTTAGAACCTCGTGCTGTGTACAGCAGCCAGTTCCTTAATTTCCGAAGCTGGCCCCTTCCTACGCTGCAAAGCAGAGTAGTATCAGAGAAGCCTGCTACTGTGGTGTTCATTCACTCGTTACCTACTTACATAAACCTTTCTTTAAAGACGATAGTCTTTCTTGGGAAACTTCAACGCAAAAATTTTGGTCTGTATTTCTGTCTGTCTGTAAATTTCTCTGTTTATCCACCGTAACGACACCCCAAATGGCACCAAGCAATATAACTAATGGCCAACCCTACCCCAGCACCCACAAATATTGCTCAAGTTTCAGCGGTCATACTTGTGCGATTGTCAATTGAAAACCGAAGTTGCGCATATCTGAGGCACCACAAAAACACGTCAATATTTTGCATGTGAGTCTTGAAACTAAAGAAGGCACATATAAGTAATTCTAAGTACCGTATCGTTTATCACGCTGTGCTGACAATGCAACGCAATGCTCAAAAAGGCAAGTGTGTCCAACGTTTTGCTAAGACGACATGGTGGTGGCACCTGCCCATCGCTTTGCGTTCTACATCTTATTGCTTCCGAGACAGGCACGCAGCTTTCTCCGCGGGCTTGCACGCCTTCCTTCGTATTCGAAGATAACTGCCAGATGGTGCTCGTGTCTAACGTGCTTCGATGCGCTTGTTCGCCTTCGTTGCACGGATCGAGACTCTCTAACGCAGCTGTCGTATGCTATCTCACGCTGTCGTGAATCTTCATAACGCACTCAAAAAAAAAAAAGGTGGGAACAATAGAGAAATGGGTTATTCCAAGTTAACTGTCACAAACCCTGGCCTACGCCAAAAAGTCATCTCTATGAAAGAAATCTGAGAAATTTACACAGATATAAACATTAGTTCTACTGTATTTTCTCAAAATATTTCGTGCTACACATTTTTCTTTGTTAACGTGACCATGATTTGAAATTAACGTAATAGTGAAAAAAACAGATACGAAAGCAAGATTTCACGCTTTTCTTCGATCTTTAATTTTCTGTATTTTCCGAGCATCCTTATGGTAGCTATGAAATTTTCATTTTAGCACGTAAGTGAAATTCTGTGAATTTTAGCGTATTCGGGAGATTTTCTACAAAAAGCGATGGTGGATAAAATGTATTAATTACTGCAATGAAGCTTTGTACTAAATACACTAATTGTCATTATTCTTGTTCTGCCTGGGTGCGGTGCATAAGCTCTAAAATGAAATCCTGAGCTTGGCTACAATGCTGCTTTGACCTGTGTTAAGAAGTAAGTAGCACTTTGAAATGGCCCAAGAAAAATTCGCGGAAAAGCCTATACTATTGAGAATCAAAGCAACTTTGTCCACAGAGACTTGATTAGAGAGAAAGAGGAAACTTTCTTCGTGCAGGCCTAAAGAACCCTCCTCATTGGCTGGAGTCCTTAGATCCGGGTTCCATTCGGTGCCGCCACGTGCACCACGTCCTCGCTGGATCACCCAACGGGGTGAAAAAATAGGGCGTACACCGATCATTGTGGGCATTCTGAGGTGCAGTGATACACCGTGGTCTTCGCTCTACAATAGGGGCATTATGAAGTATATTGTGCAAGGGAAGAGGGGAAGGCTGTGAAGGCACGGGTATTAATTATTCTGAAGCTGCCGCCGGGCAACAGTACGTGTCCTCTCGGTTGACTGATTTGTGTGGTGGTGGGACGAACATACAGATTTATTGGTAATGTTGTAGCGTTCCAGCGCAGTTTTGTTCTGGTGATGCATCGTGCATGTTGGACACCTCTCTTGATGGCGCTGTGCTTTGTGTGTTCTCGAGCTACCATATCAGCGTGTTTTTTACATGGAGAGAGGCATGCCCAGGTGTCAAGGCAATACTCTCCCTGTGTAACATACTGAAGCGTAACTTTTTTTATTTTTCTGGAGAAAAATATTTTAAAGTTTATTCCCACCACTGCATTTGAATTGCTGTAATCACCATGCCGACCAGCTGACTTTGGTGTAGAAATAAAAGTGGTTTAGAGTATTCGCAGTACATGCTTTCAAGTTCTTTCTGTTAGTACTATATTTTGTGTACTACATGATATTGTGATAATAAGTAGACCTAAATATACAACAATGCTATTGGCCTTATGCCACTACGCCCATTTGTCTCGTACGCTTACGCGCTTGCGAGTTGAAAAATCAGAATTATTTTCAGTAATGATGTATAAAGCGGCATATTTTACCTTCTAACGTAATAATTCATTTGTCTCCTGTGGAGCGCTGCTACGGTTTCATCCTTACATCTACTAAATTGTAATTGGAATGGCCGGCAGGGTAAGTTGTAGCGTATGTAACGTATAGCGGCATTCGAGCGCCTATTCTGTGAGTGTCCCTGAAGCGAGGACGAGAGACTCTGCTCGAACCTCATTAGGAAAATTAGGCACGAGGTTTTTTTTTTTATGAAAGAATGAAAGGGCGGCTGCGTTTTATGAGACGCACTAACTTACATGTCGGCTTGTTCTAAAGAGACCTGTCGTACGTGATATGATTTATTTAGAATACTAGAATACGAGCATTTATTTTGTTGGGACCCGTGCGTAAACAACTTACTTGAGAGTGATCAGAAGACAGGGAAATTATGCTTCAAATGCAATGTTTTGTCTGGTTCATACGTCTTCACGGTGGCCTATAAAGTTGCATTAAATTATATTATAAAAGCTGAAAAGAAATGGAACTCTTCGCATACATTCTTGAATGCTTAATTTCGATGAGTATACATTGTGAGCCAGCAAATCATGGTTCCTAGTTTTCTGGGCGTGGATTATCTGTCGTCGTTAGTTTAGGCAGTATTAATTTGGGCGCGTCAAAGGCTCGCCTTGCTTTGCGCTCATTAATTCGCTCGCAGATATTGAAAGGAAGCGTTAGCTTGTTGGCAAAATTTCGTTATCTGCGCAAGATAAGCCGAAATAGGGTTATGTATTAATATTTTTTTCCTTACGAATGTTGCCCCAATCAGAAACCAAGTCATATTTTTTCTCTGGCAAGAGGCATTGCTTTGATGTCTACCGCGATGTTTTCTTCTGAATAGTTTGTCGTGTAACCTTCGTATAAAAAAAAACCCACAGTATATTTGAAAAGCAGTGTTTGTCACGTCTAAAGTATAAACGCTTTTAGAGCCTCATTGGTTTTATTAAACTAGGGTCTTCAGAGCATTTGTTCATATTGAAGCTCTATTTTGTTCGTATTCAGCGTTTTATAGAATATTTGCCAACTAGAGATATAGAAGGTAAGCCACGAAAGTGGGACAATAGAAGCCGCCCTCAAAATTTGGGTCATGCAGTTTATTTTCATACCGAGTGTTTTATAAGGTCTAAATGGTAAATATACTTAAAGTGCAGCTACTTGTAGTTATAAAAGTGGACAGCGAAAAATCACTGCGTTGCATATCTGGTTAGGATTGCACCGTGGTTGAGCAGTGGTTCCGCTGCAAACCCCCAGGTCATGGGATTCATTGCAGCCTCTACATTTTGGTACAGGCGAAATAAGGGCTAGTGCATTGCGATGCTCGTGCGTTTAAAGAACACCAGATGATGGAAATTTGACTATCAAGACGTGGCTAATTAACATTGCATGGTTTCGGCACGTAAAACTACAAATGCTCCAATTACTTACATGTTTAGGAGGCTATAGAACAGCTCCTATGCAGCTGAATATTGCAGACAGTGGGTTGTGGGTGGAGGTTTCAACTCTTTTCCCCCCAATAGATTTCTGCCTACGCTGTTGACTTGGCTGTCTAATTAGCAAAATGGGGGTGTTGCTTATCATGCAACGATACACCACATTTATTGACGGGATGCTTTTTAAGAAGAGATCTTGAGACAGTGGCCTCATGCGTCTGCTATGCGCAGCGCTACGAAGGCGTTCCTGCGCTCCTTAATTCAGACTCCCAGTCGGTATGGCTGCTAGTGATGAACTAGGGGATAAAGTCATTGATTTGTGCGTATGTCAATGCTAAGTGTGGACATCTTTACATTTGCTTCTCCTCCTCTTCCTCTTTACATTTGAGTCTCTCCTAGCTTCTTCATAGAAGTGTGTCCAACCTGGATCCCACTGTAATAGTTAATCCCGCAATCTTCCTCGAAGGAATTTTCTCTCCGAAGGTGTGAACATACTTGAAATCAGGCACATTTTGAGCGAATTCGTGCTTCCAATAAAGAAGCACCTAAATACGATAAACAAACAAATAAAAAACACTAGGCGTTGCATAAGGGTCTTGCTTTATTGAATTCCGCCATACTGTCGAATTCGTAATATTGAGAGATCTAATCAGCTGATAAAAAAAGCGAAAATAAGTGACGCAATCACAACATGTGCAGCGCAAGAGAAAGAGTCACTCGTCGTAGGAGGAAGCAACTGAGGAGGTCAACCTGTTTACGAGGCCGAGTCCAGCTGACGAAAATGTGTGCGTCATTGCGGAGATAGGAGGTAATATATTTAGGACAACAGCCACTGCTTATAGTTTAGGTTGCACTTGGATTTCACATATTGCAGCCCCTTCTTCTGAGAAGTAGCTGGGCGTTTTTTGCTTTTTTTTACTGTTTCACTTCACTTCTCGTAGCTTAGTTTTTGCCTAGCCTATTGCTCACGCAGTTTGATTCCTTGTGGCACTTTCAATGAAATATTCAGTAGTGTGACGTAAAAGAACATCTGTTTGCACCTAATAGAGGAATGAATGAACTAAAGTGGATCAAGACCTGTGTCGTTCTATGGCTGCTTATAATACATAGAAAGTGTGGTAGGCGAGCAAAGATAACCACAGAAAACGTACAGCAAAGACATAAACGAGCTGTTTAACGATTTCGCGGTAAAATGCGGTAATATGGAAT